CCTTTAACCTGCTGCTTTCTTCTTAGGTGCCACGTCAGACCCTTAAACCTGCTGCTTCTTCTTAGGCGCCACGTCAACACCTGATCATCATGTCACGTAAGCGACGATTTTCCGATGCCATGTAAGTCTCTCTCTCTCTGTCTCTCTCTCTCTCTCTCTCTCTCTCTCTCTCTCTCTCTCTCAATTTTGTCGGTTGCCCAACGCCACATCAACGACATTTCGCCAACGCATATCAGGTCCACGTCATCATCATTAGATATATGTGGGCTACGCGAAAACGTCAGATGCGCAATGGAAAACGCGCGCACTTTCAACAACTTGATATATCAAGGCGCGCGAAGCGTGTAATCGCGCGTTTACTTTACCAATGCGCGATACCCCGCTCGTCAGCAGATGGTGTCAGCTGAAGGATATCACTCGGATACCAAATTGCAATAAACCCAATTAGGTGGAAAACTCAACAATGACAAAGTAGAGAATGTCTCAACGTAGTTTCAAAGTCTTTGAAATCGTACATGTAATCAAAAAAATTAGTATCTCGTGACAAGAGGAAAATAAAATGGGAGGGGGATTAGACGTAGAGGATGGTAGAGAAAGTACCCGTCAGCTCAGCATAGTCAGCAATCCAGTCGGTGTTGTAAGGAGAGGAAGGCGCCAACACCAAGCAGTCACGGTAGCAGTCTCGCTTCATCGTCCAGTATCATGCCAACGACGAGCCAACATAGTGCTAGCGTCCAGACGGCGTAGAGCCAACAGCAAGCCAACGTCAAACCAACGTCAAACCAATGTTAAGTAGCAAGTGCAAGACTGAATGCCGGTTAGCTTCTAACTGACCAACCTTTGGTCTCTCAGATACGATGACCTAGATTCCCACTTGGACTTGATTCTCAACAGATACCTGCAAACAACCAAGTGTGTATGTGTGATCTGTGGCCTGGGCAGGATCCATATTGACTTTGATTCGTGAGTCTGAATTTCCGAGTCGTTGTTGACCTTTGACTTTCTACGGTCAATTGTCGTACATTGGGTTTCTGGAGCCCAGTCTTAGGCCTTGCTTTTGGTACCCACAATAGCAGACCTTTGTTTAGGCAACTTTCATGACTTGGGTTTGTTCGTTGACCCCTATTTCGACCCTTAAACTGAAATGACCATGACTATTGCATGATTTGAGTTGCGTTGTTACAATTAAACAAATTTTTATTTGAGACACAAAAGTTTAGCTGCCTCTCTCTCTATCACCGTACCAACCATCATACTCTAATCAATAGTAGTTGAATGGTACTTTAACAGACCTATAACGGGTTGGAACCAATCTAATCGACCAGTTGGAATAGGTAATACAAACTTGTTCCTTGTGGCTGGTCATACCATTGATGATATCTTAAAGGAGAAAAGAAGTTTGAGAGTTGCAGTTGGGTCTTGCATCGAATTTTGGGAGTTGCAGCCAAGTCTCGCACCGAATCCGAGAGCACTGTCGAATTCGGGCTTCTCTCAGCTCCCAACATTTTATATTTTCATGAGTCTATTTTGGGTGTGGTGTGGCGTCACACTCTCGAAAATTCAGGATTTGGGAGGTCCGATGAGTCTGCATCATGATGTCAAAGGTCGAGTACGGAAACATTGGGGGCTAACTGCCTGACCTTCAGTAGCAGGCAAATAGAGCTTTGAAGAAGAGAGTTATCCCCCCCATTCCCCCCCCCCCGCCCCCTTTCTTTTTGGATGAATGCAAATGCCGGAAATTGTCGGACGAGATAGGGTTAGAAGCGGTCAGTGACTGTTCTGCTAATTAATGTTGCAAAATTATACCGAGAGTTGCGAGGTGATCAAGCCTCATCACGCAAAGGTTTTGCCGGAAGGGAAACTAAATCGCCAGTAAGTTTCAACACTTGATTAGGCTGTTTGCACGGGGCCTCTTTTGTTGGATATTCGTCCGCACAAAGCAGTAGTTATGAATCCGTACATCTGGGCTTAAGCCTTCCTCCGTGCAAGCACGGATTTGAAACGGCAACCTCGGAATCAAGAGCCAAGTCTCTTTAAACCACCAGTACATGACTCAACTATTGGCCACGGAAAAAAATAGAGTACAAACGTCTTTAGTCGGATGAATTTGGGTAACCCTGTAGTGGCCCGCACGTCTCCTAAAAGTGTGGCTTGTTAACGGGCACAACTTTAGGAAATACTGGTGGTTTAACCACTATATCTAGGACACGATGTTCAAAAGTGAAACCATACCAGTCTTGATATCCGCCCCACCCCTGTAGGGCTGCAGTGTCCAACTCGACGCATACTACACTCAACACCCACGAACACGACAATTCGTGCACATTTCGCTCCTATCAATACGGCCCACTCACTTCTCGGGGATACCTTACATTGTGTTGCTTGGAAATTCAGGGGAGCCTTCCAATATAGTTATGGATCCGTAAATCTGGGCCTAAACCCTCTTCCGTCGTATGCGACATGTTTCCATGGATCTCCATCCAGGTAAGACGGGCCTCGCAAGAGCTACTCACATTTTGCCATGATCTTGTGTGTAAATATGCAGTTGTTATCTTTAGATTGAGAAAAGTCACTAACCCACCAATACTTCACCCATACACAAGCCATGACGAAAAATAGAGCGGTGAGGTTTCCACTTTAATGTCCCCCCCCCCCCTTTTTTTGACAGGCCGTCGACCTTAAACCACCAATACTTGGCCCATACATGGGCCTTGGGCCGTCCCCATTAACGCGCGGAGGCCTTAGGAGGTTGGCCAAGGGAAGGCCCGATCATTGCGACAAGGCTGGGCGCCACCTTCTGCAGGATAACACTTTGAATCTTGAGCTATAAGGAAAAGAAAAAAAAAACAATAAAAAATAAAGAAACAATGAAAGAAAACAGATCTGGTTTCGTAAACATGTGCGCGCGCACGAGAGAGAGAGAGAGACGGAGTGGGAGAGAGGGAGAGAGAGGGCAAATCTTCACTACTCTTATCAAAACGAGAGTGAATCTTCCGCTATGGAAACATACACGGTCATGATTTGAGTCTTTTGTGCATGCCGAGAGTTGTGCACACCGTGCGTGCGCGAGAGAGAGCGCGCGCACGCGCACGCAAGAGAGAGAGAGAGAGAGAGAGAGAGAGAGAGAGAGAGAGAGAGAGAGAGAGAGAGAGAGAGCAGAGCTCCACTAATGTCATCAAAACGAGAGTGAATCTTCTGCTAGAACATGGAAACATACACGACCATGATTTTGGTCTTTTGTCCATGTCGAGAGTTGTGCATGCTGTGTGTGTGTGCACGCGCGCGCGAGAGAGAGAGAGAGGGGGGCGTGTCGTCTCTCTCTCTCGCGCGCGCATGCACGCCAACAGAAACAAAAGCATTTTTTTTTTTCGTTTTTGCTTTTTCTATTTTTTTTTCCTGTTTTTGTTCCCGTTTTCTTTTCGCACGAGGCCTGGGAAGTGCAGAACCGGGAGTTCGAGCCTCGGCCCGGCTCGGCATACGGGTCGGCCGAGGCTCGGACTTCATAGCTGGGCTGAGTACTGGTGGTTTAATCAGAGATCATCATCAAACTGAGCCGCTGTAGGTAATTCAGAATTGTAGTATTTTACTCATTTGTATCGAGGGGAGTTTTGAACTCAAGCCTGTATTTCAACTGTTTTCCATTTTGGGCATTTTTTTCAGCCCACGGCCGATATAAGGCGAAGCCTGTATTTCCACAAAGCCTGTATTTCCAGGGGCACGGTTCCACTAGCACACGAGTCATGGCCTAGTGCGACGCCTGCGACACTCCAGAAAAACGAAGAAAACTCCAAAAAAACGAAGAAAAAAGTAAATTAAAGTGGTGACTTCTCAAGTCCCAAGGTGGGGACCAGCCCAACCTTTGGAAGTGCTGCAAAAGGCTGTGCCATCTTCTTGAACCGTAGAATGGACAGTGGATGAATGTATCCCTTGCAGAACGTAGCCAGATTCACTTCTTCCATCTTTCTTTATTGCCTGAGGGTGCACCCATGACAAGTGCTACGTGACGATTGCAGTCCGAGTCTCACGTACCACAGAGATGGAGTGGAGTCCCTTAGTGTGCCCGACGGGACTGCCTCCTGTGACGGTTCCCATGTTCTAGCGTGAAGTCCTTATATTTTGAGAAAGAAATGAAGTACTGGAGGGGCTTTCTAGACATCCCACAGGTGTCCCCAACAATATACCTTACTCGGTTGCTAGTGGAACCGTGCCCCAGGAGTACCTTTCCCGTATATCCGTCCTGGGCCAAAAAAAGGACCCAAAATGGAAGACGGGCCGCCAATGAAATTTACCAGGCTTCGCTTCCTAATATACCGGAGCGTATTTGATTTTCAAGAGGGGAAAGGTACTGGTGGTTTTGATTTTTAAGCGGGGAAAGGTACTGGACCGGAGCAACCCGCTGGGCGCAGCTCGGAAGTACTCTTGCTGCGTGCAATACAGCAGCGATTCTCAGGACGTATCGTCGGGGCATAGTTTCGGTGGATATCCATCCAGGCAAAATGGGCGTGGCGTCCTTCGGGACATCCGTTAAAATTGGAACGATACAGAGAAAGAAGATTAGCATGGCCCCTGCGCAAGGATGACACGCATAAATCGAGAAATGGCAAAATGGGCGTCGCACGCCACCCCTTTCAGGGGAGCATGCGACCCCTTTTGTCTGGATTGATATCCCGGTACTGCTTGCACGCCGCGACTCTGAAAAATGTGTGGGAAACGTAGTGGTCGCTTGATAAAAAAATAAAATTTCCTCCCAAATGCGAAGATGGTAAGTGCATCGTCACAGACAAGAAGGCAAAAATTAAAAAAAGTGAGGCCGATTGTGCGAAGGCCATGGGCTCAGGGCGGCTCTCTATGATGCTTTGAGCTGCGAACAGGCGAGGTGATGCAAGGCCATTTTTTTTCCGTTTCGTGAGTGGTATGGCGGGGCATTTTGTCCCTCAGCAAGGAACGATTATGCCACGCGTACAGCGCTGAAGTTGTAGATATTTTCTGCTAGGCAGCCAATAGATTCCCTCCTTCGAGCATCGCTTTTTTCACCTTTCTCTCGAACATTCCTAAGCTGTCCCTCTTCATCCCGCCCCCGCCCTTTTTCTCCCGCGCTTCGCGCGCCGCGCGCTGTGCACCTGGGCTCTGCCTCCATGCATGAGCAATGTTCATGCAATCTGAACAGAGTGAGCCCAGCGGGCTTTGGTTAGTAGCGTTGGAGCGCGGCGATCGCTCCGCGCTCCCCAGCTCCCAACACTTGGCCTTCGCCTTCATCTTCGTCTTGGGCTGATGATGACTGTCTATCCTCTGTGGTGAACGGGTTTCGTTGTTGAATTTTTTGAAGAAAAATCGACGCATGATCGGCCGCTCTCACTGACCCAGGAACGAATGAACAGCGTTCATTGCATGGCAACTGGCGCCATCATCTCTGCTGCGCCCAAGTGCTGATTCGCTCTCTGGGCTCGTCGATCCCGAGGAACTGGGTGGAGGGGCGTGGCATCTGCGCTCGATTTGCCATCGCTACGCCGAGAAAAGACCCTCCGTCGATCGCTCTCTTGACCCCCTCCATTTCGCCGCGTGTTAGCGACTTTCATCATCATGGCTTTCCCTATCGCAACAACGTCTTCGACGTCGGCAACGACGCTAGAGTCTATCAGTCAGACCATGGGCGGCCCTGCGCTCGGTTGTCATTCAAGACGCGCCACCCGGACTTGTGGGGAAAGCCTACGAACGGAAGCGGTGATGTGGGGCTCCTCCTCCAACGGCACTGCTAGCGACGTTTTAGGCGCGAAGCTGTCGAGCGGGCGGGATTCGAGCTGCCACGTGGCTACCGGTAGGCGACATCTTCGCCGAATGGTTGCCGTGACGGCGATGGCGACCAGCACGGCATCGCCAAGCTGGCGAGAGCAGACGGCGCAGGTTCCACAGACAGGAGGAGGCACCACCTACACTCTCCCAACTTGGTCCAAGTTCGAGATGGGACTCTTCCCCGTCTACTGGGAGTGTGCGACGGGAGAGGCTCCCGCCTCGGGGGAATCTTTGACTGTCTACTTCAACCCGTCGGCGAGCCAACTCACTGTAAGCGAGTCGTTCGGCATCGGCTTCAACGGCGGGTTTAACAGCCCAATCATGTGCGGCGGCCAGCCTAGGACGATGACACGCAAGGACAGGGGTCCGGACTGTGAACCCCTTTACAGTATCAAAATCAACGTCCCGCGGCATGCGCTATCGTTGGAATTCTCGTTCACGGACGGGAAGGAGTGGGATGGACCGTACAAGATCCAGATGGTGGTCCCACAGCAGTGGAGAAACAAGCCGGCGGCTTTTTTCAACGCGGGACTGGCTGAAGAGATGTCTCATGACGACGCCTGCGAGCAGGCGATCTTCCCAGACTCCTCCTATGTAGCCGATAGGTGCTTGATGCCGGGAGGACTGTACCACGAACAAGGGGCGAAGTGTGAGCTGGACTTGGTCATGGGCTGTACGGACCCCGCTTCGCCTTTTTACGACCCTCTAGCCACCGTCGATGATGGGTGCCCACTAGACGTCGACCAAGATGGTTCAGGCATTTAGTTGTTAATTGGTTTTGACAAAGTCTTTCGCGCGGGAAAGGAGGAAATCTACCTTTCTTCCTCGTTATCGCTCTGCCCTGCGCTCTGCTGTCGCTTGGACTTCGAAGTCCCTTCACGTCGATCGTTGGGAGGAGTCCTCTTCCTTTTCTTCATGCGGCTAGCTTCTTCGTATTCTGTCGTCGTGTTCCTGACATTCCTGTACTCTTTCCCTTCACGCGGCTAGCTTCTCCGTCTTCTTCCGTCGTCGTGTTCCTCCTGTACTCTTTTCCTCGAACTACGCACGACTAGTCCATTTATAAACGTCTTGATCTGCCCTGCTGCCTTTTCTTTGTTTTTCGCCTTAAAATTCTACTTAATGTCCTCGTTATCCTACCCCTGTTCGATACAACCAACTCTGTACTTGGTGCTTGGTGCGGAAAACAAGGTCCCCCTTGCACATCCCTCCGCTTGCTCCTCTTTCTCCTCCTGTCTTTGACGAACGCGTGCGGCGTGCCTCCTTCAAAAACCATTCTGCCTTGGTGCGTATGCACGCGCGTGCGCTGTACGCGCGCAGCCTCGTGGGTAGCGAATCAAGCCCTTTCTACATCAATCAATGCTTGCCACCGCTATTTTTTTACTGATGTTCATCTAATTAACCTTTTTGCTTGGGCTATTTTCAACCTGCTCGGTTTCATCGCTGTCCTTGTCGCTGTAACCTCCACCCTCTCCTGCTTTGTCCCCTCCCCTTGGCTATGGAAAGGCGACACGATCACGCATCGCGATGGTTTAGCGTACTATACAGCTGCTTCATGTAAAATACTTAGCCGTTTCGATCTCTCGGATCTCCCTGCCCTCTCGAATCTGCGGAATTTGGAACTTGTACTGGTTTCCCGGCTGCTGCAACTTTCGATCTATTAGAAGACTTGGTTCCTGTGTTTCGGGTTTGTAATTACGTCGAGCTTCTGTCCAGTTTTACTTTGTCTCCGTCTTCCCAACCAAAATCTCTCTCTCTCTCTCTCTCTCTCTCTCTCTCTCTCTCTCTCTCTCTCTCTCTCTCTCTCTCTCTCTCTCTCTCTCTCTCTCTCTCTCTCTCTCTCTCTCTCTCTCTCTCTCTCTCTCTCTCTCTCTCTCTGTGTGTCTCTGTGTACCTCTCCCAGCGCCACCGCGCCCGCAAGGGCATTCTTGATGGGTCTGGCCGCCGACCCGTTCGTCAGGGATGTCACCCCCAAGCTTGAGCTGGCAACGCGGTGCCTTGGCGACACGTCAGATCAATGGGTCAATAGTACGAACCCTCTTTGCTAATATGGAAGAGACTTAGATCTCTCCTTTTTTTGCTCGAGAAAAGGGTTCTGCGGCTTCTGCCCACGTCCGATAAACCGAGCGTGTATCGTTCGGCAGTGAACCATTCAGATGCTACCATGGGCATGGCCTCGGCGCAAGGAGGACGCTCCCAGACTGCGAAGGGGTGGTTCTAGATTGATCGTGCTTCTGCCAGCAGAAAGGAGCAATGTATCCAGGAACAAAAACGGAAAAAAGGAAGAATAAAAACGGAAGGAAGAGGGAACAAGCACGCAGAAAGAGGAAAGCGAAGAAGTGAGTTTATCTTCCTCGGCCCTTCCCGGCCACTGGTACTCAAATCATTCATTCATCTCGATGTTTCTTCGCTGGCTCTTAATTTGCGCAGTGCTAGACACCGGCAAGCGTATATCGTCGAGTCGTGATTTGAATCATGTCAATGAAGTTATAAATAGTAATGTCAACAAGGTTGTGCCTTCCTTTTTTTCCCTCTCTCCTAACATATAAACAGCAGCCATAGAAGTTACGACCAACTTATGTGGTTGCATGTTTGAGTTGCACGCCTAGGAGGTGCCCTCCTCGGTAGTCTTCTGCCAGAACAGCGTTGGTGCATTGTGGAGGAGGTGCCCTCCTCTTAGTCTTCTGCCAGAACAGCGTTCGTGCATTGTGTCTGGGGTTGGTCGTTCCTCCGTGTTCCATGTGTGAAGAGGCTGTCCTCGCAGCCGATGACCAGGGGCCTCCTCTGCTCCAAGGGGTCCTTCCCAATGCAGGCAGAGTATCGGTTGCTGCTGCCGTGCAAGAAGCATGCTAGTTTATCATCCCGCCAGACCCAAGTGTTGCCACACACCTGTAAAGGGTGGGGGTAACCTCCCAAGCTTGTATATCCCATCGGAACCCAGTGTTCGCACGTACGTGTTAAGGGAGGGGATGAGTGGGACCTACCATAGTTGGAAGTGCGTGTTCCTCGTTTTTTCCTATTCAGGTATAGCTTTGTGTGAAACATCTTCCTTCTCAAAACTGCACTTCAGTGTGAGGGAGGGCTTGTGTTTTGCCGTGAGTATTGGGCAGCAGCGTCCGCAGGGTTGACTTCGAGTCAGAGGCATCCGGGAATTTTCACTACAAGACAGTCGACTCGAGTTGGGCTAGCCAAAATAGACATACGTTGGATGGGCCCAGGGGTCTCTAATAAGCCCCAATACGTTTGATTAGACACTTAGGACCAAAAGGTATAAGCAGCCTGTCCCCTCGCAACCCCACATCGCGCACACTCAGATGGGCCCACGTTATATGTCTACTCCCTTGTGGTCCCAGGGTCATTAGTGCGGAGCTGCACGAGCTGGCAAATGGGACCAGTGTCTCACACAGAACCACAAATCCTCTCCTGCCAGCGCCTCACGAAACGCCGATCATTGTTAAGACTTAGCTTTTGGTACATGTCCCTCTTCAAGTAGCTTGGGTGGGCCACTGTTACCCGAATTCCTAGCTCACCTGAAGACCATATCAATTCAGATCCACGATGGCGAGTGATGATGGTGGGCAAGGATCAGAAAAAAATCTGCTGCTGGCTGTAGGTCCCATGAGCCGTGCATGGTGGACCACTCCATGATCTCAAGTTGCCCTCTTTCCACCGTTGCAACGTGACCCCAACTGATCACTGCCGTAGCTTTTCCAAACAGTATTCATATGGCAGCTCGTTTCCACTTTGAGTGGCTGCGGTCTCTTCAGTCCTCTCAGAGGACTCAGTGTTTCTGAACTTCTCTTGAGTCCTGTGTGTGTACATCTCTCGTTCGCTTCCACCCCCTCGACTACGCCCGTGTAGCTGCGCCCATATTGCCAAAATTATGGCCACCCTGTTCCAGACCATACATACTGCTGCTGGATTATCCTAGCCCGTGTAGCCATGCCCATACTGTCTTCGCCTGAAAATAACACCCGAGTGTTGTGCATGAAGCGAACTTGTGGCAGATGTTATATTTGTTTGTAATGCTTGGCGATTGTATTCAGTAAATTGGTTGCAATGTTTGGTGAGGCTGAAAATTGAAAAGAAAAGAATCACAAAGTTCTACAAAGCAAATAGGTGTAACTTCAGTACAGTCACAAAAACGAGTTATCATTCCAGTATGGGGCAAGATGCAGTTTCCAATTGCACTTCGGGCACCCTACCTGGCCAGAAAGCTGAGTTGTATACATTGCCCGAACTGCAATTCGAGACTGTATCTTGGGCCCTTGTGCAATTATAACTCCTTTTCGTGACTCCCGTGTAGTTTACCCAAACAAATATCTTGCGTAGAATAGCCAAGCAAACAAGTCTTGGCTGAGGATCACTTTGGAATTCCTCACTAATTCAAAGATASAATAAAAACTAGAAAAATACATCCAAAGCACGCCTTTCGAAGTAAACCCCTTTGAACCCTACGTATACCCCCTTCTGTCCCCTGCTCTTCAACATATTCTACCCATACCACGTTCAGATGTAACGCCCAACCGTACTATTTGAATATGATGCCCGGCGTTATACTTGAATGTAACATCGAGTGTTACATTAGAAAAAAAAAGTGATGCAAGAAAATCTGACTTCTTAAAGCACACTTTCAAAAAATCTGACACCTCGAATTCTGGAAGCGCGAAATGAAAGTGCGACCACCGATTCAATTTATCAACGGCAGGGCCAGCGTTTGACATTTCGGCTTTGTTTACTTGTGGCGACAAGTTTCGGACTGCAAGGCTGGGGCTGTGTACTAGTGATGTAAGAGTAAGTTGAACATAACGCTTGGGTTCTACGCTCGGGCGATGATTGGGCGACGATAATAGTACAGTTTGTGCTTTTTCCCTATAATGGTCCGACGTCTGTACCGCACTGGCTGATGTATTCGAACAAACTTTTGAACTTTGCATCCAGTTTTGATATTTGCATCTCACTGGTTTACATAATTCAGTCTCAAGACCAGGCTGGTGCGCATGTTGGGACAACATAATTTCTTTCATGCAACATCTTAGGCCCAGGCTGGCACACCTTCCGACTTCTTTGTTTTGCATGGGATGAAGCATGCCCAGCCTTGGGCACTCACTAAGGCAATTATTTCATGCGAACCTGCTTTGTGCAAGACTTCAGTAATGCACATGCTTGCAAACACTAAAGCTATATTTTGCCAACTCCTCACCTACCCTTCGTCTTTCGCTCCCACTCTTTCGTCTACCCCTTTCTTGCATTTGCTTTGTCTTCCTTCTCCTATTGCCCCACTTGATAGGTTGCACGCGAGTTGGTCGAATTGAGGTGCATGAAGGCACTCCTCCTGTCCAGCATGCTGATCGTCGAGCTTGTTTAGCGTTCTAGAATCACTCCAGTTTTGAACTTTCCTCCTTTCTATTTCCCAAACGTTATCTATTTGCCGTTTCAAGCCATCGGCATTGCACCTTCATCACGTCACACTTTGTACAGACAACCCTTCACCTCCTTCATTTTTTTGATGCTATCTATAACCTTGTGCTGGTCGCAGGCTCTGTATTACCATGTCGAAAAATATGGTCTTGCCGAAAGGACTGAGCCAGGTGGTGTCGCACCTAGAGTTGGATGATCGAGTCCGGCGTGGGGCAAGACGAAGCGTGGAGTTGTGTGTGTCATTGTTGGTTAGTGACAATGATGACTACACTGTATTAACTGTGTAACTCAGTTGGTAAGGTGCTCAAGCGGCACTCAGGAGGTCGTGGGTTCATCTCAGGAGGTCTGGCATGCTTGGTGTCTTACCTTCGAGACAGCCAGCTGGTAGGAAAGTACGTGGTAGCTCAGTGGGTAGAGCTCCGGCGTTGCAAGGGGGAGGTTGCAGGTCCGATTCTGTCGGCCCTCAGTCTGCCCAACGCATGATTGGTGGTGCTAGTTTGGCACCCCATGTACTTGTCCTCGGTAGATTTGAGCTAGGATCTGTCTCATCAAGGGTGTGGGTTCAAATCTGCTTGGGCTGGGTTGAGCATATTCCATGGCTATAGCCCAGATGCAGGTAGGATTAGGGCTCTGCTTTGGGGGGGGGAAGGTCCTAGGTATGGTGATAGGGTCCTGTTTGGGGGGTGGGCTGGTTGGGACGAGCTCTGCTGGAGGATGTCGGGGAGGAACCTACAGCAGGGGTTGTCTTAAGGATCCCAGCAGGACGGGTGTTGGTAGACAGGCTCTAGTGGAGGAGAACATTGAGGAACCTGCAGTAGGGTCTGTCTGAGGGGGATCCTCCGAGATAGGATTGTTTGCGTCCCATCCCAATACAAGAATGGTGGCTTAATACATGCTAATGACGGAGACTAAGGTCCGTTTACAACCCTGTAACAACAACAGATGGATCTAGCTCATGACCGAGGTGAGGTAATGGATGATTGGACAGTAGACCCCACTGATGACAGAGGCGAGGATCCCAATGGACTGGCGTCCAATCAAATCATCTTCAGAATAACCGTGACCACAATAACAGCATCGCTGAGGTTAGACCTTGGCTAGGGAGGGGCCATTAGACACTGCCCGTGATATCTAGGCTATAGTTCAACTCATATCCCAGGGGCCCAGGTCATAACAACAATGCTGATTGGGGGACACACAGGGGAGCCTGAAACCCCACAGGAAAGGCCTGTAGTCGCACGTTCACAACTAGCTCCCAAAGTGCCTGTGCAACAGGGCTTGCACAGTGTCCGCTTCAACCAGGGCTGGGGAAGTAGGGATGCCTCCGCTCAGCCCGGGTGCCTGCAGCCGCTGTCTGGGCAGGTCACCTAGCCGAGTTGGTGATGAGTGATGGTCCTGGGTGGTCTACACTAAGGTAGGACATCGGGGTAATTGATCAAAGGGTGGAGAGGGGGTCGTTTGAGCGGGGTGGACAAAAAAAAAAAAAAAAACTGCATTTATCGAAATAGTGGTTAATTTGGTGTAGAGTGTGTCTTTGGTGCCTAGGAATTTTTCCTTCCTACTCAACTTGTCCTATGTTTTCTTTAAAATTTATGCTTGTGTGAATGTATCCTCCTTGCACCTGAATGTGATCTGCACCTGGGCCTGCCCCTTAGATTTCCCAAAAAGTAGAAAAAAAAAAAGGCTTGGGCCTGGGCCAGAAGATTTCCAAGAAGATTAGAAAAAAAAAGGATTGGGCCTGTATATTTTCGGAAAGAAAAAAAAAAACAAAGGTTATGGTTTGAAACTGGGCCTGAATTTTGGGTTTGGCCTTTTATGTTAAGATTTCCAAAAAGTTCAAAAACAATAAAAGGTGTGTGGGCTTGAATCCTAGATGTGGGGCTAGGCGTGGGTATGGGTTTGTATACTGGACCTGGATCCGGCCTAGGGTGAGGGCCTTGGGATTTAAGGAGAGGCGGTGTCGAGTGCATCGGTCCGGCACCGCACAGGGCAGCGCGGGACCCTCTCGGCCGCGTCACGCAGGAGTTGGTCTAAATCCTCATCGCGAATATACATGAAGTTTCCGCAAGCCGCTCCGGCCAAGTGCGTCAGCCGTACCTCTCTCGAGCCCCTACAACAGGATAGGGCTTACGCGAGGCACTACTTATCTTCACCTTACGGGAGTTGTCACCTCCCTTCGGTGGGCGTATCCCCGTCGAGCTGCCAGTCCACAGTATGAAAGTTGATTAGTTGCAATCGCAGAGGTGGATCAGCCGAGGGTGTTTCTCGTTCGCTGTAGCATAGGGGGTACACGCGGTAGTACGTCTCTATCGAACCCGCACACGAACCGGCATCTTAGGGGGTTGAGGTCCCAAGCGCGACTCGTCGCCGGTCGACTAGGACGCATCCCACACGCCACGCACACACCACTATAAAGAACATAAATATAAAACACACATACCTACACAGGCACATATACAAAACAACATTGAACAAGCAACGCGACAACACTCCTAGTCCCTTAGTAGCCATCCCATAACTTTTCGATGCGGAAATCGGATGGGCGTCGCTCGCGAGATTTAGTATAAAACCTTGCGGTGTCGGAGGGTCCGACATTCAGGCCCTCCGCGGTGTGTCAATTTGCCACACCGGTTTGAGTGGGAGTAGCCGGTCCAACCGGAGAGGAGTGATTACACTTTTCGTAAGAGTGGTCATCCTCAAATGTACCATGTCTAATCTCATCTTTTTATTTCTATTATGGTTAATTATTAGGAAAAATTTGTCTGGCGCCCCTGTAATTTGCGTTATTTTGCATCACGCCCCTCCGACGGCCGATTTACCCTGTCGCGCCCCTCTGAGTAGGGTTCAAATTTTTCATAAAACCCTGGCGTCGTTTGGGTCTCAAATCTTTTCATTACGCCCCTACCGGTACCGGTCGCTAATTTGCAGGATGCCCCTACCGGATGACCATTAAAAGCCAACAGAAAAAATTTTGAGATGCCCCTACCGGTACCATTTGCTGCCAAGCCATTTGCTGCTATATTATCTGCTGCCCCGTCATCTTCTGCTACGTCATCTTATGCCACGTCATCTTCTGCCAGTCCATTTGCTGCCAAGCCATTTGCTCATCTGCTGGCACATCATCTTATGCCACGTTATCTGCTGCCAATCCAGCAGTCCATTTGCTACCAAGCCATTTGCTCATCTGCTGGCACGTCATCAGCTGCTGTCACGGCATCTGCTGCCAAGTCGCCCACACCTGCCACATCTTCTACTGCTTTCCCAGATGCAA